CATCTGACCTTGTATTTTTTATGCAGCTATTGGTTTTATTTTTAGATCGGCAATGCGAACTTTTGTATCTGGCTTGGTTACAAATGTAACATTTTTTGCTCTGGAACATACAATCTTTGTACCAATGTAGGGCTCAACATCCGTAACATGGGTTTGGGGACAACTTATTTGGTTTTTTCTTTGTTTCATCAGTTTTAAGAGACTTTGTTTCTGTTTGTAGCAAACTTTTTTGACAACAATCCCCGATTCTTTGATATTTTTAGAATCCTTCTTTAAACTGACGTACCTCTGACATTCTTCAGCGATCTTCTGTAGAGTTATATTCGGCTCATTCTCCAATTTGTTTAGTATTCTTCGCCTAATCTCTGCATCTTTTGTTGAAACTAGTCCTCGCACCAATATCAAACATTTGAAGTTATTCGCACTTAGCTCTGCCTGTCTCAAATCATCACAGTGCTTGTTTACAATTGATGCAAAAGTGGTGTAGTCATTTCCATCTCTTATGAAAAAGAGATGTCTTTGGGCTGAAAAGCTCTGTCAGTAATTCCACTGCTTCAGTGAATGTCAACTCGCTAGTCTTACGGGGCAGAATGTAGTTTACAAATTTTGTGCCAAGTTTCCTCAGAAGAAGACATACTTTTTTTGAGTCATTCCAATCCACACAATCTGAAGTATACAAGTCCTCATACCTCCTAAAGTATGACGCAAAGGTTATGTCTTCCTTGGGATTGTATGAAAAACTCTCTATTGCACTCCATATGGTGTTTTACAAAAAAAAAACTCATTTTGTCAGTTCTTACATTAGCTTTTGAAATTCAAGCTGTCTCTCTTGATTTTCCTTTTGAAATTTGAGTTGTCTCTCTTGATTTTCCTTTTGGGTTTGCAGCAATAAATTTTCCAATTTTTCCTGTTGAGATATTTCAATTGTTTTTGCCAATACTCTTCCATTCTTTCTTGTAGCTGTAATTGTTATTCATTCTGATATTTTACAAGTTCTAATAAGATACTTTTGAAATCCTCCATGATAAGTGTGTCTTTTATGAAAAACTCCTTTTTCTGTAATTTTGGAAGAGTTCCTTTTTAATCACGGTGGTCCACACAAATCCTCGCAAATCCTTGTCACCAAGTTGTTGTGGCCTGTTTAGGTGCCAGAAAAGAAAGGCACTGAAGACGAAGGTAGGTTGAACAAGTGTATTGAAATAACAGATATATACAAGCAAGGGTGTTAGTAATAGGCAGATAGATGTGTTCGTCCGAATGATCAGGTTAGACTCGGCTGCCCAGCGACTGCCTTTACGACTGCCCTAGGAAGTCTTGCAGTTAGTATTTATAAGAGGAGGGAGAGTTCATTCTACTGTAGGAGGGTTTACCACAACACTTAGGACATGTAAAAGTGTATGGCTAAGAGTAGACAGAGTTTGCAAGTGTCTGAAAGCCTCTTACACTGGTCACTTCCAAGTGTTACATAAAACTGACAATTATTTTGTAATTAAAATGAACAATGAGATACAGTCAATAGTATCAATACATAGATTAAAAATTAAAATCACACATTGAACCTAAAACTGATAAGCAAGTAATAACGGAATAATAACCTTGTAGTGATGATAATGGATACAAAAAACATAGATAAAAATAGTAAGCCTAGTCATACAAAAGCAGGTCGGAAAGTTTCTTGGAAAAGAGACAACTAGTAATGGGATGATACCAATATTTTTACCAATTCCGATACCTACTTTGATTAAAATTCATTATTTCAGGCCCTACCATTGGTTTGGGAAACTTAATGAACAAAGTACATTTATTAATAAAACATTTAGTAGAAAAATGAGTTCAAAATCTTATGAAATAAAGTTGGATATCCTTTTTATTTTAAAAAAATTGGGTAAGAGTTTAAGCAATAAAGAGAACAATTTCTTTACATAAATCACTTAAGTACTTAGCTACAATTGACATATTGCTTTACTTTGGTTATTATCAGAAATCTTAAAAACTTCCAAACTACACTTTTCTGCTTGGCATTGGATCCACTTGCCATAATTGGGGTCAGAAAATAATAAACATTGGTTAAAATTTAAATTTTCTCACTGTTAGATAAAAAAAAATATTTCTCATTTTCTGATGTGTATAATTTGTAAAGAGTCAACTAATGGTTTGCTATTGTAAAATAAAAAAGGGTCTGTTTTTTTTTTTTTTTTGGCCACCTTAAATATTTAAGTTTAATGAGAAAAGACACCCTCTAAATATTATGCTATCTCCTTAAAATTTCATATGTGGAATTTTTTCAATGAATGGAACAAATTTAGGGTGACAATTTCATTTCAACATGAACTTCAAAATAAGAAACACCCTAATTATATATATATATATATATATATATATATATATATATATATATATATATAAAAATATTCCAACAATAATACTTTAGTCAGAAAGGCATTGTCTTATGTATTGTGCTTTAACTCATGCATACATTTTGATAAAGTATAAGGAGTACCTAATCCTGCAGGACAGTGAATAAAATAAATGCAAATTTTAAATTTGCTTACATGTTTAATAAGAATTAAATATGAATTATCCCAGCAACTTAATAAATAAATAATAAAGGGTCTTCAATCTTATCTAAAAAAATTTAATCACTGATAAGTTTTACTGTCTAAAATAAGTTTCTCACAACTAAAAAATTTAATAATTTCTAAAAAGAATCAAGATGTGTTCTATTTTTGTTAAAGGAAAAAAAAGAGTTAACATGCAACAGCAGTAAAAAATATATACCTTGATTTATTTTTTTAAAGAGATATAAGTAATTTTAGCAAACTTTACAATAAATTGAAAAAAATATTGTGAGGTTGAAAGCTAAATAGCACTGATCATTTTATAAGGAAGTTAGATTCAAATTGAACTTACAAAGCATTAAAATAAAAATAAGATTAAAACTGATTAAAATCTTCATAAGGATGAGAACAACTGTAAATGTGTATTTTTTGCATGGGTTTGATGTTTTAAAGTTATTTTTTAGATTATTAGATGAAATTTTACTAGTTTTATTTTTATAATATTAAAACAAATTATGCTAAAAGTGGAAAAAAAGCTATAGTTTAATCACGTCAGATAAAAATGAGATAAGAATACTTGTTTTTAACTTTTTTTATACACTTCTGCTTACAAAACTTGCATCTCGTTTGTTCCTGAGGACGAATAAATGAGAAAATAAAGTTTAAAATATTTTAAATGCCATAATAATTTAACACAGAAAAGTTTAATTACACCAAAGAAAAATATTAGTAAAATAAAATTAAATACAATTTTTGATTGAAATTAAACTTTAGGTTTTTTAATACAAAATTTGTTCATTTTTTTTAACTAAAAGATGAAAATCCATTTTGAAAGCTATAAAATACATGAATTTTGTAAAAAAAACAGATTTAAGTTTCATAAAAAAATGTTTACTTTTTTAAGTCTCGTTTATTGAAAAGAAGATTTATTTTTGTTTACTTGGTAAGTTACATTCTTATAAGTATTCAAATAATATGGCAACAAAGATGAGAACAATAGTCCAAACAATGTAGTGTAAATAATCGAATGAATCAGTTCATTTTGTGATAATCCTTCCAGTTACTCAGTGTAAGATTAGAAGCATCATGGCTGACAAGACTGCATATATACTTGACCACTTTTTCATATGAAGATAATGGACTTTGTTTCTTACTGAAAGGACACATAGGTTGATGTCATGTATAGTGACATGTTCTTTGTTGAATAAAGCCAAAGAAATAAACTTGAATTTTATTACTGTTGCTTTTCCATAGCAGTTGGTCTTACTAAACATCTGTATTGTTGTTTCTATACAGCAACTTTGAAATTTTCCATTAAGAATATAGGTTTGGAGGTACTTTTTGCAGGCCAGTGGCTATTATTGGGTAGTGAGTTTGTTCCTTGTTTGGTACCTTACTATTGTGGCCTGACTAAGGTAAGCTAAATGACATCCATGTAGCTATATATATATATATATATATATATATAAGGATATTATGTTTTGTTTTTTTTTTTTAAATTGGAAATATATGGCCATAGTCATTTTTGTGGAAAACAGAATTTGCAAACTGAGTTCAAATTTTTACTGAAGCTACATGTGTTCACATTATACAATTGCTCTTGGGGAAGGTACAATCTCATCTCTCTCTCTCTCTCTCAAGTGCTTATTTTATAGATCATAAGTAGTGATTTCTATTCTTTTTTTGCTCCCCGTTGTTGTGACCTTGTGCCAAACTAAGCCATTATATGACTTATGTGAAATATACAAGTAAGTTGAAAATGCTTAGGATAATTTCATGTTGTCACGTTCACTTTTAATATGATAGCTATTAACAAAATAAAGGGGAATGAACAGAGTTAAATGCTATAAAAAGAAGTTTATCTAATTATCAGGAAGACATTTGTCGATTAATGAGATTGATCTTTACTGGGTACTCTTATTGTTGTGGCCCTGTGTCAGCCAAAGATCAGTGTGTACCATATCTTTGATCAATGATTATTAAGCATGTATTGCACACTATTATTATTGTCATGATTTTAATGTGTGATCACCATATTTGTGGCCCTCTGCCAGACTAGACTGAACTGAATCATTGGGTGGAATAATTTAATAAACAGTTTAATTTAATAGTTCAAGAAACTGAAAGACCATTACTAATGTTGTGAGTTCAATCCTCATTGGGTGTTCAATTAGTGTAGTCTTCTGCAAAATAATAGTAGCTTCAATAAATAATACTACTTGAAAGCATTTAATGAAGAAAAGACATGTTTTTTTCATTGAAAAAATGCAAAATCTTATTTGTCTGATTTCAAAGTGAAGGACTTAACTGTCAAATCTATTGGCAAAACTGAATAAGAATTTGAAATTTTATTGCTACACATTTTTTTGTTTCAGATTTTTTTTTTTTTTTTGAAGAAATGTTCTTCATATTCAATGTTTTCATTATTTTTTTTCTGTGTAGCTCTTGTTGAAGCATTCAGATGCCTTCCAAGCAGGAACTCCTTTCCCAGATGCATTTTATTCCACAATTTGCTTTGGAGGTAAATACAAAACCTATTTTTAATTTTAGTTTAAACTTGTTTGTGATTTTATTTTTCAATTTAAATTCCAAATATGAATTTGGATATCTGCTAGTGTAACTTAATAGTACATCAAAGGGTTGTATATATCGGTATCTCTTAAACTTAGTTTGGTGCAAGGCTAAAAATATGGAGCACTATATTAACAATGACCTACAGGAAGACTTTATTAACCATTGCTCCACAATAAAGTAGCCATTATAAAATTTCCTTGGCACAAGGAAATCATGTTGAGTTCTGTTTTAGAACTCAACATCTAGACTACCCACACATTTGATTATAGTGGTGCGGGCTTGTGCAGAACCAGCCACACCTTTTGAAAGAACTGATAAGAGGGAAATGGTGCACAGTATGCCACAAAGTCTTCAAACAGCTCTCCTTAAATTAAATTCAGGGTTTCCCTTCTCTAATCAAGGCTAGGGAGACTAGTCTTCCTTTCTATTTAATCCATAATTCAAAAGGAAAAGATGTATACTCACTTTTCTCAAAGGTATTTGTGTGAAAGCACAATGACCTTGACTGGAATTTGCATTCAACATGCTGAGTTTGTATTCCATGCTGATAACAACATTATGGTATGCACACACACATATGTATATGTATTTGTGGCAACAGGGAAAACTAAGTCTTACCTCAACAAAGAATTTGTGTACTCTGTGTTATCTGTTAAAAAAGAAAATTTGCATCAAGATTGGGTCAACTTTAGTTGGCCTTGAAATATGGTAATTGTTTGTGCTTCCTTACTAGTCTTGACCAATCACAACCTTTCTTACCCTAATAAAAGAACTTTACTTTGGACCACAGGATTGTCTTGGGTGAAGAGTTGTGCATTGTATGGAATAATTTAATAAACAGTTTAATTTAATAGTTCAATAAACTGGTCTTGAAAGACCATTACTATTGTTGTGAGTTCAATCCTCATGTGGATTTTTGACCCTTTTGATTTACACTCCTGGCATTTTCTAATTTTGGACTTGCTCAAGATTAATTTATGACCCTTAGAATTACAGCCTCAGGCTTATGATTTTTTGATTTGAACCCCCCTTTTGCTATTTACCACAGTACTTTGTCTTTATTTGTAGGAAAATACCACAGTATATCTGAAGACACTCACTTTGCTCCTTTTATTAATGCAACTGTGAATTACATCAAGAAGCACTATTCACAGCCATGGGATGAAGTAAGCCATTTTTTTTTTCTGTATGATTCGAATTTTTAAACATCCTTATAGGAATGGCTCTGCTGTGTATATTTTCAGGTTGTCCTTTCGTAAAGTGCAACATCTGTAAGTCTCCATTTACATTATTCAGACTATTGTCCTCATCTTTGTCGCCATGTTTATCACAACGTTTCGGCCATTGTACACTCTGGCCTTCTTCAGGTGGTTGGAATGTCAAACTGAACCCTTTATTTCACTTCACTGGGGTAGACTGTTCTAGTTCCATGTGCCATGTGTCAGTTATCTCTTGTGTTAATTCCCCTCTGAAAGTTCTTCACTGCCATAACCAGGTATTGAACTCACACTCTTTGGGTCCTGTCACTGGATCTAACTAATGCCTTTATCCACTGTGCCATGTGTTCTCAAGGACACATGGCACAGTGGATAAAGGCGTTAGTTAGAATAAAAACTAGTTAGGTGTGAGACTGGCTACGCCACACCATAAAATCTACTTTCTATGGAAATCACAGCAGTAATCTGAATAATGTAAATAATGTACATAATATCTCATCTCAGAAATATAAACAGATACTGTAAGTCTCTCTTTGATATAGTTGGGTGTTACATGTAGTTCAGTGCATTTGAATATACAAGTAGATAATGCGAATGACTTCCAAAATCATCACTCAGCCTTTTAGGGTAAATCACATCTACTTTTAGTATTAAAGTCAATATTCAACAAGAGGATAGTCAACATATGCTGAAAGTGAATATTTATGGAGAGGTGCTGAAAATTTTCCAGTTCAACCCATTTACCTAAAATCTGACCAAACATCAGAATCTTTTTAAATCACTTCTTGCATTGGTGCAGACCTTTTCAGCACACCCTGCATCTTTTGTTGGTTCCAATCTTAGTTGGAATGATTATTTGTTGCTATGAAATATAACAATTGTGGCACAAGGCCGAGGGGAAGTGGGAGAGGCTGGTCTACACTAACTATCCTAAACCTAGCTAATCTGATTCATGACTCATTTATTCATTGTGATTTACTCATTCACTACAAGAATTCATCCATCACCATTAAATCTGGCATATACCACAGGGATAATCTTAGTTGGAATGACTACAAAATATTTGCCCCCCATTTATAGGCAGAAGCATGCAAATGCATGCTGGGATTTCTTCCTAGCCAATAAAATAGGCCAGTTCTCAGTTTCATCTGACTCAGTCCCAGTCTGTCTTGTCCTGAAATCAGAACGTTACATTCACTTATCTGAATTTGCTCTTGTGTGTCAACCCCAATACTTAGTCTGGGAACTTTTTGCCTTATTACTGTTAATTTGTGTTATTGCTGTTAATTTGCCTTGCATATATTGTTTGCTTGCTTTATATTAATTTTTGCTCTGTTCTTTTACATTTAAAAACGGTCACTCAATCTGCATCTTTGTTAAAGATATAATCCTCAATTTGATTTTTTTTCTTGTCTTATGGAGAAGAGAGATGTTGATTTAATCTTAACAATGTATAACATGACCTTTGTGTAGTGTAGTAGTCAGTATGCCAAGTGACAATGATTTCTTTTCTGACCAAACATCATGGCCAATATTATATGCAAGAAAAATAAAAAAAATAAAGCACAACCATAATTTTGAGGATAAATCTTATTGGAAATCTGACAGTTTGGTTTGTCAAATTTGGAGTGAATAGGTAAAAACAGATGGATGTCCAGATGGTGTAATTGCTTGCAGCTTTGCATGAAAAATCAGCATGCCAAATTCAAATTTCAGTCACAATCATTATATTCACTTTCACAAAAATACCTTTTGGAAAGATATGAAGTTATTTTTTTCCCTCTTTCAGCTTTTGGTTAAATAGTAGGGCAGACTAAGTTCTTCAGCTTTGGTTGGCAACAATTCTAGGAGGAAGACAACCCAGGATTCAAAACAGATTGGGCAGAGGGCTATCAATGTCTTGCATGTTGAGAGTTGTGACCTCATATTTCATAATGGAGTCTATGGGACTTGAATGAGTGAGATAAAAATATAAGCTCATGTATAGTGATTAGACAGGTTTCAATTTATAAATATAATTTATTTATCAAGAAGCACTTAAAAGTGTTTCGTCATTTGGTTAGATCTTGGAAAGTGGGTTGAGTGAAAAACTTTTCAGCACCTTTTTGCACAAGTGGGTTTTTTGTTTCTGGCTGCTAGATATTTATCTAAGATCATCTCAAATTTTACAAGTAGACAAATGCACAAGCATATAATAAAAAATACCATTGTTAATGTGGGCTTAACCTTAAGCTATTCCCAAAGGTAAAGGTATAACATTTTTACCTGATACTCTCTCTCTTATATACCTGTATAAATCAAAGGATAGATGTTTCTTCTCCTTGTATATTATTGTCTATCTTCCAAGTTTATCTATGTTAGTGGGTTTGAGATTTTCCCTCCCCAGTGTCTATAAGTTTGATTCAGGGCCAAAAATTCTATAATAAAACAAGTTTCATTGATTCAATTGGAGAATTTTTTTCATACAAGTAATTTGATAACTGTGCAGCATAAAGATTCACTTCAACAAGAAAATCACATGAGATGTGCTTTTGTAATGAGAAAACCTAGAAAAACAAAAAACAAAACCTGTATCTGATTTTGTTTTTTACTGTCTTTCTTCAAATCAGTAATTTGAAATATGCACCCAAATAATGGCTGCCAATAGTGGATTTGTAAAACTAGTAATTTTCAGCTTGTCTGTAAATGTGCAGACTGAATGTGCATTTAATTTGTAATCTGATATGTCAATCAGTTATCCTCTCACACACACAAACCTAAGTAAAATTACTTTTAGATGTTAAAATGTTTTTTTTTTCTTACTGAAATTCCTCAAATATACAATTTTACCATTATTTTAGGAAAGAGTTAATGTTACTTTGTAAATTAATCTCATCAAATATATTTGTTTTGAAGTCAAAAGTTAATCTTCTTTTGACTACCTTGTGGAGTATAGGGCCATGGATTTATTATCTTGGGGCCGCAGTCTTACTGCTGTGATTTCCATAGAAAGTAGGTTTACATGGTGTGGAGTAGCCAGTCTCATAGCTAACTAGTTTTTAATTTGGTGTTTTCCTTCTCTTAGACTGGTTATAAACCAAGACTTCAGAGCCCAGTTTGCCCTGCTATTTAACCCATAGCTGGGAAAAGAAGAGACAGATTTATACATTTCTCTAGGGTATTTGTGTGAAAGTAAAGTAATGAACTTTGCCTGAATTTAAACATGGCATGCTGTTTCCACTTTCTGTGCTGGTAATCACTACACTACGAGCATGCCCATATATTTGTTTTAATAGGAAGTATTGATAAAATACAAAGTATCTTTTAATTAAATGCTGAATCCTTGTATGCTTTAAAATTATCTGATGTTCTATTGTAAAAATTTAACTTTCATTATGAACTATTGTTTAACTGATTTGTCAAATGAAAGCAGCTTATTGCCACATCTGGTTGAAACATTGGTTCTCATATGATAAGCAATGTTAAGCCTAGTCAGTACCTAGATGGGTGATCACTTGGGAATACCAGGTGCTGTAATCTTGGATATACAGGTGATGTAATGGATAATGGCTTGGAATTGTTAATTGGAGAGCCGAGTTCCAATTCCAATTGTGTTTGTTATATTCATTTATGTGCAACTACCCTTGGGAAAGGTATGAATCCATCTCCTCTCCCTCCAGCTATGAGTTAATAAGTAAGACTTGTAACACTAAAACCATCTCAAAAAAATATAAAATTTCATACAAAATATTCAAATTTGGGGATTAAATAACCCATAGAGGTGTTGATATGCCACTAAATAAAAACAACCAACCAACAAAGCTTCATACTCTACTGACTTTTCAGTTTAAGAATGTTACTAAATAATTGATCAAGTATATTTAATTTTTTTTTTTTTTTTTTTTGTCTGTAATATTTGTAACTTTACTAGAATTATCTCTTTTGCATTTTCAATAACAAGTGGAGAGTTATGACAATAGTGGACTGTTCCAAGACACTTATAAAACCAGAAAGAGAAAAGAAACCTCAGATTACAATAATAATAATAATAATAATAATAATAACATTTTTGACAACATCAGTATACTAGTATTTAAGAATTTTTTTAAAAATGACTATTATTTCATATTTTCTCATAATTTAAAAGATGATTATTTTTTTCAGTTTCAATCTTTTTGTATTTTTGCAGAAGGCTGAGAAACTTATTGCTTTTTTGTTTGGAATCACCTCACACCAAGTAGCAGATATTCTCTGGCACAGTCTTGGAATTGAACAAGGTTTTCTTCAGACAATGGCTTCAGTGAGTTGAATAAAACGTTTGGTATTCTTAGCCTCGTTAATTCTCTATAGAAATAGTGCAAGGAACTTTTGCTTGTAGCTAGTCAGTATTAGAATAACAAACAATAATATCCATATAGAAAGAATGAAAGCAACTCTGAAGACATAGGCTTGAAGAATGACTTCAGATTTTAAATCATGAGAATTGAAAACAAATTGTTTGTGATTTATCTTCATTTTGCTGAATAATTTCTTTATTCAGTTATTTGTACTACGATCCACCCTCTTTTATATTGTCAGTCACCTTTAACAATACGTTAAAATGTGAATGCTACCATTAAAAATCCATTAAAAAGTTCACATCACCATTTAACAGTATATTAAAAAATGTATCCCACCATTAATAATCCATTAAAAAGTACGCATCTCCATTTTAACAATCCTCTAAAAAGGTGTGCATCAATTTAACAATCTTCAAAATATTCTTTTTGTTTCAATCTTCACAGTAACATTCATTCTGACATTGAGTAATGTTGATTAACTAAAAGGGAATATAATTATTATATATTATAGTTATTATAATTATTATAGTTATTATAATTATTATAGTATTATATTATTATAATACATATTATTATAATACATATTATTATAATACATATTATTATAATACATATTATTATAATCTTTCCTCTCAACCAAGTTTACTGGCCTTCTTTTCAAGGTTGAAAAGACAATAACTGGTGACTGGGGATCCACCCCTCAGCTTAGCAGTTTCTCATTATACTGTAAGAGGTGTAGTCTGTGCATTCCCTAATGTCTACATTAATAGTCAAGGGTTACCAATTTCTGGATTACTCACTATAAAACATTATAACCATCTCTCTCTCACTAGAAAATGAAAAAAAATCATGTGAACAGTGAATGATTGTTATTTTATTTTTTAATTTTTCAGGTGAATTTCCATGGATCATTTCCTGCTGCTCATTCATGGGGAGATCTTGGTAAGACATGGTTTTTTATATTTAGCAGAACTAATCATAAATGTTTTTTTTTTTTTTCTAAGATTTAACCTGTTTTATTGTTTACTGGAGTCCTGGCTTCTATACATGATTTTAACCGTCTATTCACAGTGAACCAACTGCCATAGCAGTAGATTCAATATTATCACTCCAATTCATTTTCCACTGATATGGAGCGACTATATCGAATTGATTTGCTATGTCTACTGCTAGGAAAGTTGATTCGCTGTATTGTGCCAGACAATTCTTTGCATCAGAAGCTATCTTGCACATTTACAAATCTACCATTCGTCCATGTATGAAATACTGCTGCCATATATGCTCTGGTGCTCCTGCTGTTTATCTCAGTTCTTGACAATATTCAAAGAAAGGTCTGTAATGGAAATGATCCTGATCACTTTTTCATAGATGTGATGTGGCTTTCCTCTGTCTTTTCTATAAAATATTTTCATGACAATTGTTCTGATGAGCTATTTTCCCTGCTGCATTAACTACGTGAATTTAGGTGTGCTACTAGATTGGCAACTAGGTCTCACTGTTTTACTGTTGGACTAATTAGATACAATCACCAGTTCTATTCTAATAGTTTCTTTTCTCGCACTTCTCACCTGTTGAACTCCCTTCTGATTTTTTGCTTCCCAGCCAACTACAATCTTAAAAAATGTAAATGCAATGTCAATCACCATTTTTTGTTTTCTTGAACTTAGTTCTTTATTGTCCTTTCTTCACTCTTCCCAACTAAAGTCTCCAACAGTTTTTGTACCTAACAAGCAGAAAAGATCACTCAAATAAGTTTTCAGGTAAAATAGTGTGGGGCTGAATCAAGTGAGGTGTCAAGAGTGTTAGCTTTTATTTCTGCTGACTCTAGATTAAATCTCAAACAATATTGATCTTTTTTTCTTTCTTTCTTTTTCTCTAACAGATATTGATGAAATGCCAATATGTTTGTCATTTTCAATTACATCTTGGCTTTTGAAATGAGTTATTCATATGTAAATTGCTGATTTTTTATTTTTATTTTCAGGAAATTATCTCCATGAACTTTTCTCAGAGTAACAATCTAGGTTGTTTACAAAATCCAAATTTCCTTTTCAAGGCTTCTATTATGACAGATAATAGATTGTAGATTTTACATACTGATAAAATTTGCATTTGTCATAGTGTCAAATAAACAATTTTACATTATAAAAAAGTACCCAAAACTGAGGGCTGCTGAAAAGTTATCAGCCTGACCAAATATGATTCAAAAAAAATTTTGATGATGGGTCAGATGTTGGGAGATGGATTGGTTTGAGACCTTTACAGTAATTCCTGTCATCAGTGAATCATTTTTAATTTGTTTTGAATAATACTATTCTAGTCTGATTTTGATAGCATTATCCATGATTAAAATGTTTTCTTTCCTATTATGAATTCATCAAAAAATAACTGACAATTTGCTTCCCACATAATTGAAGATACTACACCTTATAAATGTTATCATCTTCCTAAAACCTTCTAATTCATGTTACATAAATTTCCACCACTGGTCAAATGTGAACGCTCCAAAACCCAAGACTAAACTAAAATTTCTGTCAACTGCACACTGGCTCTGCGCATAACTTCCATTTTACATACACACACAAAGAAAAATACAATCCAGAATTTCCACCTAATAGCACCCACTCCCGCCTAAAGAAACAAAATGAAAATTGAAGCTAATCTGAGCCTAAGAAAAGGACATAAAAGCCCATTAAAGAGACATCTTCAGCAGTTGGACGGCACAACAGCCAGAATTAACAACACCCAATCGTAACGCAACCTCCCATCTCCAAAGACAACTTGCCAAAGGCCATTGCCACAACTCACCCTCCCTCTCATACCATATGCCTCTGCAGATGACTTTTACAATTCTATTTATTTCTTTTTTTCAACGAGAGACATTTACACCAATTTACCATTTGTTGTATTTTTACGTTAATACAATTGGTTATTTCTTAAACCTCCATTTTTTTTTCTTTGTTCTGTCACCATACACTTAATATAACATGAATATATTTTTTCTGATTTGTCACATGATCCTTTACAGGTGGTGATGTCCTGAATGCTTATGAACAGAATATTACTTACATTCCAACTGGGTCAGATCCCCATTCATGGTAACTATGTAACTTTGTTTTATTGTTACATATTTAGCTCTCTTCTTTTCCTCTGTTTATAGAATGTTTTAACCAGGCATGACTTACCATTAGGCTACAGAGGTCCTTGCAGCAAGGCAATCCTCAATTACCCTTTTTAAGAAATATACATCTGTCATTGAGACATTTTGGTGTTTATATCTTCTAACTTTACTAACATTACATTCACTTATATGCTAATAGCCTTGGGAAAGGTATGAATCCATCACTCCTCCCCCCAGTTATGGGTAAATAGCAGGACAGACTGGGTTCTACAACCTTGGGTGGCAATCAGTGTAGGAGAAGGAAAACATTGAATTTAAACCAACCTGGGCTCTGCCAAGCTGTCTTGTCCTGGAAACACCACTACTGCTGTAGCTGCAATAGATGTGATGCCCCTACAACCCTAAGGGCTTACAGGATTTGTGATTGTGATTTAACTTACAATTTTTACCCAAAATGTAAATAAAGTACATTAAGCAATTAATTGATGTTTTTAATCTGATAACCTATTAAAATAAATAATCTTACAACCAAAAAAACAACAATATTAAAATAAATAAAACACATTAAAATAAATAAGCAAATTTGCCACCCATTAAAACAAATAATCTTACAACCCATTAAAATAAATAATCTGACAACCTATTAAAATAATTATTATAAGAAATATTGTTGATTTAAAAAAAATCTATTGTTTAAATTACTTTGTACTTTCAGGTACGAAAATATAAGTTAACTGATATAAACACTGAAAAGTCCAGAGATCTGTACCTTTCTTAAAAAGGGTAATTCTGTCTTGCTTTGTTTTATAGAATGTATGAATATTTTTATCCTGTATGTATGAATTACTCATAAATTAGAGTTTAATTTGTTCTGTATTGTAAAAGATTACTTCAGATTTTAACCAGCTAAGTGTGTAGAAAAAGGGCTAGAGTAGAACTTGTGTTTTGCCATAAAGTTTAACATATGAGGTCACCTTCTTTCTGTCCTTGACCATAAGGATTTATCTCCATTACAAAGAGGATAAATTGCATTTTGAAGAGATTTGTCTTGCTCCTTCTAAGTGAATCCATCATGGCTTTAAATAAAGTATTGATATGTATTGATAACTGCATTGTGTTATTTACAATACTTTACCAGGTATATTCCAACAACAGATTTGTTTAATATTTATATGGAACTCTATGGTCATGAGAAAATATCAAAAAATGTGATTTTGGAATGTTTCAAACAACTTTATATTTTAAGGTAAGCAATTATTATTTTTTTTTACCATCTTTGTTGTTTGTTTTATTTTACAAAATTGCAGGCAGTGTCTTCATTGCCTTATAATCATAAACCATAATCATAAATCTATACATGGATCATGTGTTTCACTCTTTTTTAACAGATTCATATTTTTTAGCCAATCCTGGTTAAGCCAAAACTTATGATCATTCTTTTGTGGCTTTCTGTTGGCCATTATAAATTCTAAATGCTGGCAAAATATATCTTGAAATCAAGGCTGAAACCTTTAATGAAACATGTATAAAAGAGGGATTGCTGCTTAAATACACTATATATATATATATATATATATATATATTTATATTTCTTTTCTTATACTTGTCTTTAATTAACTTAATTAGAACTTGTTCATATTTGACAATAAAAAATAAAGAAAATTAAAACAGCTAAGAAAGTGATTCAGCACAGCATTAATAACATTTTTATTGTGTGTTTAGAGAAATGACATCTTTAAACAGAATATAATGCCCTAAAGGTGAAGGTAAATAGCTTTGGCTGTGGATTTTATTTTTAACTTGTAAAATCTTACTTGGCTAATATAAAATTTATTAATGACTGTTATTTATTATGATAATAATTATTATATTTATTATTAAATAATGAAAGGGTTTCAACTTTCTCTGGTTGATATTGTCACAAAGATAATAGCTTACCTTGCTGAAGAAAACACTCACATGCTGCATGTGTTCTCTGCAGAAAAGAACCTGAACCTCTTTCATAGTGAAATGTAAATTTGTGTTTTCCCAATCATGGACGTCTTAAGTGTATATAAAGCACTTGATTTTGAGAAAAAGGGAAGATGTTTTTGTTTTATGTGTAACATGGTAGTTGATTCTTCCAAGATTTGTGACTTATTGCAAATATCTTTCTGCTATAAATGTTTCATGGAATGACTTTGAATAAAATCCTTTTACAGATTCATAAATCAAATTTCAATTCACTTTCATTATAACTGATTTTATATATTTTCTATTTTTCAGAATTGCAGAGTTATTAGCCTTACCAAAAGTAAGTTTTCACTATCTTCATTATTGTTATTCATTATTATGTAACCTGAATTAATCAAATCATAGGTAGGATTTATTAAAACCATCATGACTTACATTCAATCATTTATTTACATATATAGTAACACAGAATAAAATAATAATCATAATTGTATTTGAATGCAGGCATGTTCACTTTCTGACCATGAGACCCAAGTTCAAATCTCACCATCGTTGATTTGTCAGGAAGGAGACTTCTTAATTTTATTAGGTCTGGAGGAGGCAATACCAGTGTGCAGTACATTTGGATGGAAAGTGCCTAAAAACGATATACCATAGCCTTGTGAGTGAAATTAGGTAGATGGAATTTTGGGGGTCGATTGATGGCTGTGTTAGCACGAAGTCTCAAGTCATCGTGACTGAGGGTTTGAGCGTGCTGGCCTTGTTCAAATTGTTGATTATGCTAGATAACATGATTCTCTCCCAGAAACTGTGACTAAGGTCTGCTCAGCATAGTTGCAGTATTAACCACAGGTGGGCTCTGTGGGTGTGGAAAAAAATACACAAATTTGTCTGAGCAAACGTCTGCAATAGAGATTAGCTAGCTGCCCTAGTAGACAATGGGTATCTTTGAATACAAGTGGCCAGCCATTAATTTTTATGCATATGCAATGTTTCAGTCTTTTTTACACTGTTACACTCTGCATTCTATTTGTGATATTTTCTGCAATAATAAACCTAATTGTCAGAAGTGTGATTTGACAATTTTGACCTAAAATTTACCTTTCCATGTGGACTAGTATACTCATCTTTGCTGTCAGACTCATAATTTTACAGCCACCATACCCTCTAGTTTTCTTCAGGTGTCTTACATCATAGATTGTTATTTCATCAGAATAAATTGTTCACGCTCCACTTTCCATGCTTTGTATAGGCTTATGGACATATTATCCTAAAATACCGGTTCCCATACAATCACTGAAGTTAAGCAATGTCGAGCCTGGCCAGTACCTAGATGGGTAACTGCTTGGGAATACCAAGTGCTGTAAGCTTGGATATGCAGGTGTTGTAATGGATAATGACTTGAAATTGTTAATTGGAGAGCTAAGTTCAAATTTCAGTTAAGTTTGTTATATTCATTTACACATAAATATTCTTGGTAAAGGTATGAATCCACCTCTTCTCCTCTCAGCTATGGTTTAATTAGTAAGATGTGTATCAGTAAATCATTATTAACTAAAAAAAAAAATTCTTACAATCTAAAAATATTTTCTGGCTTTAAATAACCTGCAAAGTATTGATAATCCATAAAAAACAAAACTCTCCAATTTATTTGACTTTTTTTCTTCCACTAGAGGATATGACTTTCCTGTACTATCTGACCCAAGGATTGAACACACAACTGTCCTACTATACATGTACAGGCTTCCCCCAAATTCACAATGGCAGTATTCAGTTGAGGCTCAGTCTGTCACCTACTGAGCAGATTTCTTGTAGATATAATCAACCCATCAACCACTAAGTCTCCATTTTATTTATTAAAAAAATCTGTCCAATTTATGATCAGAGATGCTCCCTTTCATACCAGCTAAATGGTGTAGTCTATTCACTAAAACTCTACCAGTAGTTCAAGACAAATTAGAATTGAACCCATCTCTAGATGCGCATCCAAATGGCCGTGATAGATAACCTGAAAATGTTGACATTCCATTTGCAAATAACATTTTTTCCAATTATCAACAGGAAGAAATCTTAGCTATGGGATCACTATTATCTTCAGTAATGGCAAAAGTATACATGGAATACTTTAAGGAAATTGCTATAGGAACATCATCATTAAAGCTTAGTGGTTTACCTATGTAGATGACACCCTTAGGCAGATGTGCAAGCACAGTTGGGCCATTTGAATTCAATAAGACATTCCATACACTTTATATTGGAAAAGGAAGCAGAACATCAACTGGACTTCCTAGATGGACCAATAACTCGCACACAGTATAGGCTTAAGACATCTGTATGTTGTAAACTAACATTTACCAGTCACTATCTCAACATCAATTCCAACCATACAACAGCAGGTAAGTTATTGTAAAAGCTGCCACAATCATGGGAAGAAAAATCTAGAAAAACAATAAAAATCTGCCAGTTTGTCTACCATGCATAAAGGGTACATCTGAAAGGATTCACATGGTCTGCGGTCCATGCAACATGAGGACAGTATTCTAAAGCAGTTCAACACTTCAAAGATATTTTCTCCCATCAGAAGGGAGCATGACCAAGAACTATGTATATCAAATGCATCTGTGGCAAGGAATACAAAGGTAAAACTAGTTTTCCCCTTTAAAGTAAGTGTGGTGGAACATCAGGTAGAGACATTGAAATCAATCATGGCTAGGGAAAAGGGTGGTCATCCACTTTTGTGTAATGAATTTAAGATCATAAACAAAGAACAATACTGGAGGATAAGACATATGAAAGTATCAATACATGTTAAGCTGGCAACCTCATCAGTAGACCAAGCATTGAGATGAACAACATAAAGATTCAGGCTCTAAATTCTCTGACAGTGGTCTAGAGGATTAAAGCATTAGGTCAAACATATCTGGTTCCTTGATAACTTGTGAGTTCAATCCCTTGGTTGGGTAAAAAGTACTATACTCTGGTTCAGTGAAAGAAACGATCAAGTGACACAAAGATGAATAAGACTGGTGAGTATGAACTGTTGTGAGTTATCTCCCCTAAAACATGGAAAGCAGAATAAGAGCAATCTACCTCTAATGGAATAAAGAGTATAGTTCAAAATTACAAAAAGGTTACTACAAAGTACAATGAAAGACAACTGAAGAACGTTGTACAACAGACAAAATACTGTGAGTATAACAGTCAAGATGTTTTTTTTTGTTTTTTTTTTACTACAGGACCAAGAGCCACTCAAGGTACAGAATTATTGAATGAAGCATGTGATATGAACATAAGAGGAGGAAGTGAAGATTACAATGATATGATCAATAGATAGTGATTGACCCTAGACTTAAAGAAGTTAAGATTGTTGTGTTCGAGGAAGCATCCATATGGGAGTCTTTTCCACAAATTAGCAGTTCTTGGGAGAATGATAAATGGAAAGACATAAGATAATTCCGTATCTCAATTTTGACAGTTTTTTTTTAATCATTTCACCCTAAACAAGGCAATAAAGCCACTATGATGTAGCAGGTTAATGAGTGTGAGAGAAAAAGAAGACATTATTAAGGAGAGAGAACAATAAAAGAACAGCAATTAAGAAAAGAGAGGATAATGATTGACATTGCATATAAATTTTTGAAGATCAAAGTTGACTGGAAAGCAAGAAGCTGGAAGTGTCCAACAAGCAAAAAGTATGAGAGAAGAAACTGTTAGAATAAAACTTTTTGCTGCTTTGTGGCAGCAACCATTTTTAGTAGTTATTTTGCTGAATAGAGCAACAAGTATTGGCTTACTGAAGAAGTTTTTTGTTGTAAGATGACATTAGGTGCCTTTGATTATGTTGTGATGTGTGTAATTCAAGGTCTTGTACTTGAATGTCCTTTTCCTCAGTAATAGAAGGGCTATATATACAATGGTCAAGACACTCGTATGTAGGTAATACTTATTGCAGTATCACTAACGTGAGTTATCTCCCCTTATGCATGGAAAGCAGAATAAGAGCAATCTACCTCTACTTTGATTTCATTATGATAGTTGTTATATCAACATCAATGTTATAGCATAAATTGTATTATAGCATCACTGCTGTAGCTTTTGTTATGTTAAAAGATCACTTTTGATTATGACAGCTGTTACATCAGCTTGCATTTTTTGAAAAATATCTAAATTGGTTTATTTTTGTTGATTTATTCTAACATTGAAGATAAAAATAAACATCAGCTGTGGCATATTATGATTTTTTATTTTAAGAAAGGTAAAATTGCAACAAAAATGCAAAAAATGAACTGCAGTTCATGGAGAAATTACTATAAATGATTGTGTTAAAAGTGCTTTGTCAAGGTTTGTAATTTCTTGCTGAATGGTGTTTCACAAACATATCAATTGAGATTAATAGTGATCAAGGAGGCACAGTGGAGTAATGGATAGCGGCTCAGATTTAGGAATCGGAGAGCTTAATTTGAATTCCAGTCAAATCCATTACATTCACTTAAGTGCTAATACCCTTGGGATATGTATGAATCCTCTTCTTCTCCCACCATCCATGGGTAAATAGTAGGACAGATCGGGTTCTATAGCCTTGGATGGCAACTGGTCTACTGCAAAAAGAAATGGCAAACTACTGGGTTGGGGGGCTGCATCGTCAGTCGCATGTATCAAAAGATACATGATCGCCTAAGTGTGTATCACACATAGCACATAACTGAGTGGTCAAATGAAGATATTACAAGAGAATAATTGCTGTTATATGAGAGAAATTTGCAGCATAATGAAAATGTTCAAATCAAGCTTTGAAAATTATTTGCTTGATTATGTTAGTTGTTTTGATGTGTAGCTTCCATATAGGTAAAAAAAATACTTTTTGATTTTGTTCTTAAATATACATTAAATATATGTTTTTTGTTAACAAATTCTTGTGGATGATGACATTTAGATATGTTACAACAATATGAACTGCAAGAGATTGTGTGATAAGTGAAATGAACCATCACTAAGCATAGCAAAGTCAGATCTTCATTCAAAGAATTGATAATATCTATCTGATAGCATTATGAGCTCCTGGAGAAGCAAACAATTGATTTGAAAGAGTACTGATTCTAAATAAACAAATTGAAAGCAGTGATCAATAAAAAAAACAATCTGTAATTAAGGAACAGAAAGTGAATAATAGTCAACCAGGTTAATGTTAGATTGCATATTACATTGATGGCCAGGGAAAGAAATTTCTTTGGGTGATGAAAAGTGAATACTTTACAACAATATGAAAAGCAAAAAGATTTTGCGACAAGTGAAATGAAACCATGCTAAAAACCAATCTTTCCTCAAAGAAGCTGATGCAGTGTATATTGTAAGATTGGAAGGAAATCTTAAACTAAGAATTCCTTTTGGAGACATAAATGAAATCAGACTAACTGAATTCAGCAGTAGATTAAGAGTGTCAAGAATTACTTATATTAAAGGTAACACCTAAAAGCATATTTCTTTTGGTGACCAAGCAAAAATTGTTACAACTTAGTTGGAAAGTTTTCACTTGTCATCCATTACATTTTGCCTCTTTATGATTAGTATTAATTCCAGTCTTAAAAAAAAAACTTAAATTTTCTGGAAGACTGCAAAAGGAACTTAGAGCAGTTCTTTGGTGAGAAAGGTAAATTCTGGGAGGATGGAACTATGAAGTTGCATGGAAATATTGGAACAAAATGGCAAATATATTTTTCAATAAAGTTAATCCTGTGACACTGAGGTCATGAAGGGATTAATATTAAGATTAAGTATAAGAAAGAGAATGGAAGGTATTTTTCCCGGTGGTGGAAAATGAAGGCGCTATTTGGGTTTTCTCTCTCTTATGAAGGGGGGATGAGTGAGGTTGATGTGTACAAGGGTTACCTTTTTTTTATTTATTTATTCAAGATCTGACATGCAGCAAAATGAATTGGGGAAATAATTTTATCTTCCCTTAGAAGGTTAAATAAGAACATATCATTCTTCTTAAGGGTCGGATGTATGAATAGGACATAAGTTAAGAAAACAAGTCCTGTTGTCAGCAGGGGAGAGAGTGCTGCTCTGGTTTATATTTTCAATGGATGTAGATAAGATCAGAAAATTAAAATTAATGAATAGAATAAAACACTGCATTTTCACTTACATGCTTTAAAAATTAGATTCGTCACAAAGACAGAAATGTCTGCCCTGGGAAGTAGGCTGAGTTTGAATGTTGAGAGAGTAGAAGAAAGGAGGAGAACTTGGTACCACCTGTATGGAGTGTGATGGTGTGAGATGTTAAGTGAAAAAAAGTTTGGGTTGAGAGGAGGAGCTATCTCTGTGACTACTCCCAAGGAATGTGGATAATTCTTCAAATTTGGAAAGTTGGTTAAAAATGCAGAAATAGGAGACAAAGGACCCTTGTTGGGACTAATGCGATAATTGGTGAATTACTGAATCCCCATAACCCGTTACCCCCATGCTGGTTATGGAGCGAAGTGCATATAAGCAGACAGTTGCCACTAAGGCCTCCTGATCTAGAACCCTGAATACCAACTCCTTCAGAATTTCTGACAAGGCCCAGTGTCACTATAGAGATTGATGTGGGAAGGGTTAATTTTTTTGCATCAGGAACTACATAAGTAAATTGAAAATTAACACAATGAACCTTTTGTGTTTTATTTACATTTCATTTGTGAAAATATTTCTTCCTTTGATATAGCTCTCACCAGTTTGACCCTCTGCTATGATTTCTTTGTTGTTCAATATGTCACTGCTCTGTGTTCAAAAACACAATGTGGGCAGAGTGGGTGTGGGTCAAAGCAGCAAGCAACCAACAGCCAGCTTGGACCAGTGTCTATATTGACCAGTACAGGGTTTGCCCTGTGGTTAATACATTGACCTAAGACCCTGAGGACTGGGCTGTGGAATTTTCCCAAATACATGTGTTCAATATTGACAATGTCCTTTCTTAGCTTTGGAAGGCTTTCATGACTGTGATTTTTTCTTCATTCTTTTCTAAGCACAGGCCTCTATATAAGACTGAAATTTATACTTTTGGCTTATTCATTCTCATTCAGTTCTTTGATTTTCTTTTTGCTTAAGTTGCATGTAAATGAAGCTGTAGTAAGATGACGCTTTTGAAGTTTTAAAATGCTGTCATCATCTACCCTACTACTTTTCTTTTCTTTTTCATGTCATTGTGTTTTGTAGATTTCAAAATTCACTTGCTTCTCAGCTGTCTTTTCTAAGGACTTAATGATGATTTTCATCTCTTTTCTTAGTTATACAACATTATAGCTTATAAAAGTCCTTTTCTTGTCCAACAACTTGATGACTTCTTTCTTGGGGGACTGGACGATATGGCAGGATGGACACAAATAATTTGGCAGAGTGTAGCAGAAATGCTTGTGAATAATACAAGGTAAGAAACTGAAAACATCTTTTATTTTCATTTTTAAGCTTTAAGGATTATTAAGAGATCAATTAGGTTGCTTTCTAATTTTTTATTATTTCGATCTCAATGTCACAGCAACTATGCTTTCTGCTCTTATATTTTGGGAAGAATTTTTCTTAATTCTCAGGAGTATATTCCTTCTAGATCCAATGAACAACCATACCATTATAACCAAAATAAATGATTCTGTTAAAAATTTCTTGAAGAAGGCTGAAGAATGTATCAACTGTAAGGTTAGGATCAGGTTATTGGTTTGAATAATTTCTGCTGTATAGGGAAATGTTTCTCCAAATGCTGTTAATATGAATTTTGGATTATCCTAACAAAATTTTAAAGTTTCATTAATATATTATTTTAAGATTGTCTTGGATACATGTTTTTGGTTACTAGTGATAGAGTTGAGTAGTTGTTATTGTCCTGTTTCCTGTGAATAGAAAGTTTTTTCAGTTGGTTTAATGACAGTCATCCACTTTAAACAGGGTTGGAATAATTTTTCTAATTATGTTAGAATTTCTTCAATATTCAGCTCTAGATTTTTATTATTTAAATGACAAATAATATGATTTTATTTGTAAAATCTCATATTTTAAGCAATGTCCTGCATCTTTATTCATTTTATTAATTGAATGAAAGCAAAATGCTTAAGCCCTACTAGTTGTGGTTTGGAAGCTGATAATTTTGTAAAAGTTGTAGATTTTCAGCACTTTTAGTCAATCTTGTGACAGGTGCTGTGTATTGAAATACAGAGCAATCCCAAATTGTCATACATTTGGAAACTTCTGACTATAAAGAGTTAAACCTGTTTTTTTATAAGTTCAACATAGCTTCCCTTTTTTTTTTAAGGTCAGCTCAGTTATATAAATAAAATATGAACAATTCATCTCATTCGAATAATGAATGTTACCTTGTAATATCACATCTCGGAAATTTAGAAAATACTCACCAGTAAGGTTTTCTTTTATCAAGGAATGAAATGGTTTTGAATTGTCTTTTAAATCTAAATCTTGTTTGTTTTATGACATTCATGCGTTCTTTTTTTTCCTGATTTATAAAATGACATTTCCTGAAGTGTAATTGCGAATATTATGTGATAGAAATGTAAGGTCTTGTAAAGTATATTTATTTGCAAGTGATTATCTTGAAAGCCATTTGGATTTGGTTAAAGCCAGATTGACTCATTCATGCATGTGTGAATTACCTGATGGGTGTATCTGTATATGTTCTTTGTTGAGCTTTTGTTGCATTGCAGCTCAAACCAGACACCAGGTTTGTTGACAGGGTGCACTTTCTTCCAATCAAACGCTTGTGGCTTAAAAAATTACCTTTTAGTCAGATCATTACCCACAAGTGAAGAACAAAATAATTTCTAGCAGCAAACCAGATTTTATTCTTGGGTTGTAACCTACTGCTATATGCAGGCAAAGTAGAGATGAGGCATGGGTGAGGTGGGAGGTGAACAGTTCAGCAGCCGTCTTCCCTGTTTGTTCGACGGGACACACTTCATTTTTTGCGGGATGGTCAGTTTTATAGATAACAATTTTCTGTCTTGTCATCTTTGTCTAAAAAAGTAATTTATCTTCCTTCCATCACTTTCTCTCTGAGCCTCTTTTACTGATAACCATTGATCTAAAGTAAATGTCCCGTGGTTTCAATTTAACAATATCTCAGCTAACTCAAATTGCTCGTTCTCCATTCCCCCTGCCCCCGGCGCTTCGTTCTCCATTCCCCCTGCCCCCGACGCTCGTTCTCCATTCCCCCTGCCCCGACGCTCGTTCTCCATTCCCCTGCCCCCGACGCTCGTTCTCCATTCCCCCCTGCCCCCGACACTCTCGTTCTCCATTCCCCCCCTGCCCCGACGCTCGTTCTCCATTCCCCCTGCCCCCGGCCTTTCGTTCTCCTTTCCCCCCTGCCCCGATGCTGCGTTCTTCTTTCCCCCCCTGCCTCCGACGCTCGTTCTGCTCGTTCTCCTTCCCCCTGCCTCCGACGCTCGTTCTCCTTCCCCCCCCTCCGTTGCCCTTCCTCCTTTCCCCCCCGCCTCTGTTGCCCTTCCTCCTTTCCCCCGCCTCCGTTGCCTTCCTCCTTTCCCCCCTGCCTCCGATGCCCTTCCTCCTTTCCCCACTGCCTCCCGATGCTCGTTCTCCTTTCCTCCCTCCAATGCTCCTTTTTAATCCCCCCCTCTGCCACACATTGTTGCCCTCCCCCATTCATTCTCCTTTGCCCTGCACTCACATAGCTTTATTAAGCAAGTTACTCTTGGTCATATTACTAAGATTTCAACCCCAAGACATGAACTGAGAAACTCAATATAAAAATTTAAAGTTTCAACTGGAATACTAGTTTAAAAGGGTGTGTCATTAGAGTGTGTCATCTTTATCCTTAGAGAAGCCAAGGTTTCCAGTGGAAAATAGATGCAGACATGTAGTAGCCAAAGATTCCAAAAATTTGGAAGAAATTAGCACATGTTTTCTTTATGTAAGAAACCCAAAGAAATGCTAAAATCTTCCATAGAATTAACAAGATGAATGACCTGTGCTTATGCAAAATTCACACATGATTGTTGCCTGAACCCAGATTTTGTGTATCTGCTTTTCCAGTTTGTTATTGGATAGAAACTTACTGATGTTTTCATTATCCTTTTACTATACTCAGATTCAATATGAATGAAGCAACGGTTGCAGTTCTTAATGTTTCTGTTTCTATCTCATTGTTGAGACCACCTTGCAGTATGAACATTTTTGTCTTTTTACAATTAAAAATTTGTGACTGAAAAAGTTAGTTTTTTCATCAAGTTTAGCTAAATATGCAAGAAGAATGAAAATGTTTTGATTCTTCACCGAAACAACAACTGAAGCAAATCTTTTGTTTCTTTGCAGTTCATGTGTCATTCCTTACAACACGTTATGTTTGCAGTGTACAAAACATAAGAACAAAAACATTGTTTGCAATAAATCTTCTTCAGAGAATGGCATTTATCAATCTGTACCTCCAGCATCATTAGCTGTTGCTATGGAAGCAGCATCAGATCTTCATTTAACACCTGATGACATCCATGTTCAGAAAACTGCCAAAGGTGTTTTTATGAAACCTTCAATAAATTTAAAGGTAAGATTGTCAGTTTTTTTTTCAATAGCTTATATTACTTAAACATACATTTTTAAGGAATGGTCATGCAGCACGGTTGAGTAATGGATAACGGCTTGAATTGACGAATTAGAGAGCTGAGTTCGAATTCCAGTCGAATCCATTACATTCACTTACATGCAAACACTCTTGGGAAAGGTATGAATCCTTTTCTTCTTCCTACCCCCCCAGCAATGGGGAAATAGCAGGACAGATTGGGTTCTATAGCCTTGGATGGTAACTGGTCTATTGCAGAAAGAAATGGCAACCTATTGCAGGAAAAATCTGTCTCGTCAGTTGTTACAGCTGGCGCAACACAAAATAAGAAGAACCAGATTTGTAGAAATTAAAATTGAAAAAGATTACATCTGATAACGAAAAGCAGGTTTTATTTAACACTAGCAGTAGAGCCCAGCGTTGCCCAGGGATGTAACAGTAAGTGATGGATCAAGTATCGACCATCATAAAGACTGAAAAATAAAATTGACAAAGATTATTGTTTAAGGTTGATGGACATGCATGTCTTAATTAGTTTTTTTTTATTGTTTTTTTTTTTTTGTTTTTTTTTTTTTACGAATTGGTCAAACTCAAACAAAAACATTGTTTTCAATCGTTATGAGTCTACCGATTGAATAGAATTTTATTATAAACAATTGCCTTGTAAATGGAATTTTTAAAGCATTCTGAATGTAAAAATAAAGAAAAAACTGTGCAAGACAATAAGAAGCACTACCTGCCAAAAAAAAAGTGAAGTTTTGTTGAAATCAGTTGAAAAATGTAGGAAATCTGATACCATATATAAATGAACGCACACACACACACACACAAGCAACCTGGGCTTTATAATAAGTACAACTCGATATGAGTTGTCCCCCTTTCATTCTCACGACAGTGATGCCTCTTAATTGTGTTTTCAAATTGATTTCATGCAAAAACAATTGTGTTTTTCCAATTTTTGGCACTGTCAGAACCACCGCAAGTTCATTTTATGTAGTCCTGTGAAGTTTTGTTGAAATCAGTTGAAAAATGTAGGAAATCCGATCCAATATATAAACGAACAGACACACACACACAATCTGGGTTTTATAATAAGTATGATATAATACAATATTTTTTCAGAACAGTTGGGATAAGGTTTAAACAGTATAAGCTAGGAAATGCTAACAAGTTACTAAGTGTGTGAGAGCCCAGAAAGTAGTTGGCTTAACGTGTAGCTATATGAGGGAGTGGGAGAGGAAATCCTTATACAGTTAAGATTAAGGCGATGGATGGGAATTTGTTGCTAGTCAAAGAATTATATTATTTTCTTCTTAGAAAAATAGTTAGATATTCACATGTATATAAAATAAAGGAGTTTGGTCAATGATATCAAGGAATAAAAGATGAAGTATTTACTGATAGTCTTTTCTTTTCAGGAACTGTCAGAACTTAGATTCTTTCAGTCGAAACTTTGTTTTTGAATCAAAAAGGACTGGAATTGACCTCAATAGTCATGGCTGTGGGTTCAGGGGGCAACTGCTAGTTGGTACGGACTCCTGTTTATATATGTTTTTTGAACCTTCTAGAACCCAGTAGAAGTTTCTAGAAACTTCTATTCTATCATTATGGAATCTAAAATGTTTAGTGAATGGGAACTTTTCATAAGGCAAAAAGGGCACCTAGTAGCTACAGATTTAAGTCATCATTTTAAGTTAGATTTGGTATTTTAGAGTATAAGTGTAAAGAAGTAAAACAAAATGGGGCCTCGTATCAAAAGATACATGATTGCCTAAGTGTGTATCATGCATGGCACATAACTGACTGACATGATTCTCCTCATTTTTCTTTGATTTTTTTTTGCACCATTAAGGCACAGAGTAATAGATTGTAGCTTGGCTTGAGGAAACAGAGAGCCGAGTATGAATTCCATTTGAGTTCATCATATGCTAAAACTTTTGATAAAGGTATGAATCCATCTCTTCTCTTCCTAGCTATGAGAAAAATAGCAGGACAGACTGGGTCCTATAACCTTGTGTGGTAACCAGTCTAGTAGAAGGAAACTATGAATTCAAACCAGATTGCAATATCCTAAAACTCCCACTATAACTCCTACTATTAGCATATCCTTGGATACATTATCAAAAGGAACCCAATGTTCTATAGAGAACGATAGGCATGAACTGACTAAAGCTTATTATTTTTGTGTGTCTGTTTTTGAAGTCAGTATTTTCTTTTTTTTTTTTATGGATGATGACTCATTTGATGATTGGCCTGGTTATTTAATCTCTTTGTACAAAGGTTAAGAAACACCAGTTACGGTTAACTTGTCTACAGTTGTGACATGTCAGTGACAAGACCAAGGCCAAGATAGGTAGTAAAAGGACAAAACCTGAGTTGAATTCATGTCTTTTGCAAGAGATTAATACAAAAGTGATATAAGCAAACTTAACTGGGATTCAAATTTCATTTGATGATAGTGTCTCAAGTTAGTAACCACTAGGCCACCTTCAAATTGTATTATTTATCTCTTGAACATCATCATTTTATTCACTACCCCCCCCCATCCCCCAACCATAATGTTTCATCCAGTTTATTCTCTGACTTTCATTTATGATGATTTGTTTTTCTAAGACTAGACTCAAAATAAGATGGTAAGTCTGTACTGGATGACCTGCGGGATTTGATATGTAAATTGTGTATGTTTGTCAGTTAAAAACACCATATTAAAATAAATTTCCTTTTATTAATATACTTTATTTTATTATCTTTTTGGAGGAGTGGATTAACATATCAAACTAACAATTATTCTTAATACTGAAATTCAGTTCAATTTTTTTTATATATTGAAATCTTTAAAATATAAATATGATTTCTTTTCAATAAAACTTTTTTAGTTAGCATAACTTTAAAAATGTACACCATCTTTCTGTGTGTCTTTTGCTCTTTTTTGTTTTCTTTTTAATGAAAAGTTCTATTTTTAACAGTAGTGATGTTACAAGTCAACAATTAGTAAGCTAATGCATTCAGTGTACCGCCATAATTCATTGATTTAAATGACTTAATCTGATCCTAGATGTGCTTATTTATTGAAATTGATGTTGTAGTTGTTCATACAAAGTGAGATAACTCTAATTCTTGCTTTTGGATAATTTGTTCTTAGCGTCTTGATATTAGAAATATAAGTTATTAAATATTGCAAAAAATAAATATATAAAAAATAAACTTAAACCCTGATTAAAAAGATTAAGTGAAGAAGGATTTTCACCAATACAGCATGGTGTAAAGTGTAATCCTCTGTTTCATGGTCAAAATTATTTAAAATTCTCAAATTGTGTAAATAGATATAATATATATGTTATGCTCCAGCTTGACTTATCTGACCTTAGAGAGTTGTCTGCCTTTAGTTTTGCTAGGATCCCCTAGATAGGAATGCTGCTTATGAGAATATAAATTTCAGAAGGGAAGCTCTTTCTATTTAAGTGGTCATTTCTTTGATGGTATACTGTATGTAAAATTGGAGATAGATAAAAAGATCAAATCCTGGAATTACAAATTCCAGCAGCACCAATAAAAAGGTGTTATTTGGCATTATAACAGAGTGGAACAACAACGAGGAATTTGGGAATAATTGAGTTGAGTGTATTACAAGATTACTAGTGGTTTTAGATTGAAACATGTCTCCTGGAATATTTTTATCCCACACCAAATATTGCAGACTCGATATGAGTCCATATAAAAAAATGAGTAAAAAAAATGACAACTACTTGCATGTATTAACAAAAAGGAATTACATAATTATACACTTATGATTAAGGGAAAGATTTAAAGGCTAGTTGTATAGAAAAACATTTAAGCTATCTATAAGAGATTGTGCGTTTTTGTGTGTGTGAAATTTGTGTACATGATACACATGTGTAAAAGTGTTCAAAAGTCAAGAGAGAGAAAGAAAAATGCATGCAAACTTAGTGGCCATGTTTCAACTGTATATAAACTATATCTTAATGCCAGAGTTGAAAAGCTGTAAAAGACAAAAGAGGCTATGAAGATAAATGCATGCCTTTATTTAAGCTTAAGGAGCTTTAGCAAAATCAAGTGGGATAACCCACAAGTGCTTGAAGTTTTTAGCCAACAATGTGAAAGATGATTGTAAGCAACAAAAAATATTGTTTTTGGTTGGTGCTAAAAATTATGCAGCTGTTTGAATTGTAGCGGATAAGAGACCAAGTGAGAAAACATTTTACAGGCAATGTCAACTTAAGGAATAGCACAATCATGTTGCTCCCAACAAGTTCATAAGCATTTTTTCTTCAATTCCCTGGGTAGAAGGGACAATGAAAATCACCAGTCATCATTTTTATCATGCTTAGAAAAATGTCTGATAAGTGTAATTTTAGGGATAAACTCAATGGACATCTAAAAGATAGGATAGTGATGTGAGTAAAGAAAGAAAAAAAAAAATTAGCAGTAATTGCTCAGTCAAAGAAAATTGTGTCCTTGAAATATCTATAACAGTTAACCACAAAATTTTCTACTTAAAGTATGCAAGGTCTGAATCTCAAGAGAATTCTTTTTATAGGGTAGATGTGCAGGTGGTGTAATGGATAGTGACTCAGAATAAATTAGAGAGCAGAGTTCAAATTTTAGTCAGGATTGTTTATTCACTTATGCACAAATATTTTTCAAAAAGTTATGAATTCATCTCCTCTCTCCTATCTATAGGTTAAATAGTATAATATGTACCTTAAAAAAATCTTTGTTTTCAAAAAGTCAATAATGCAATATTATTCTTACAATCCAATATATGTTTTTGCTTTAAACATTATCACAAAGTGTTGATAAGCTGCAGAAAAAAAAATAACAAATCAATTGATTGCCAGAAAAATGGGAATGCTATTGAAGTGTTGATAATTATTCTTTTAAAAATAAGGAATGTTTCAGATGCAAGTTTATCAGACATACTTGTGAAAAGTCTAGGCAGTATGGAAGTAATTGTGCTGGGAAAA